TAAGATGCTATCTCATTGTAGTTTTGATTTGCATTTCCCTGATTACAAGTGATGGTGAACATTTTTTTCATATGCCTGTTGGCCAGTTGCATTTCCTCTTTGGAGAAATTTCTTTTTAGCTCTTCTGCCCATTTTTTGACTGGATTATTTTCTTTGTTTTTGTGGAGTCTCATCAGCTCCTTGTAGATTTTTGTGATCAGTCCTTTATCATTAGTATTGTGTGCAAAAATGTTCTCCCAGTCGGTGGGGTTTCTCTTTGTTTTTGTTATTGTCTCTTTTGCTGTGTGCAGAAGCTCTTTAATTTGATGTAGTCCCAGCTCTTTATCTTTGCCTTCACTGTCACTGCTTTGGGAGATGTGTCTGTAACGATGTCTTTGAGGTGCATATCATGTGTGTTTCACCTATGTTTCCTTCTATATATTTTATGGTTTCACGTCTTATGTCTAGTTCTTTAATCCATTTTGAGTTGGTTTATGTTCATGGTGTGAGGTAGTGGTCAAGCTTCATTCTTTTGCATGCAGCGACCCAGTTTTCCCAGCACAATTTATTGAACAAACTTTCTTTGCTCCAGTGTATATTCTTTGCTCCTTTGTCAAAGATTAGTTGACCATAAATTTGTGGGTTTATTTATGGGTTTTCTATTCAGTTCCATTGGTCCATGTGTCTGTTCTGGTTCCAATACCATGCAGTTTTGATTATTATGGCTTTGTAATATAGTTTGAAGTCTGGGAGAGTGATGCCTCCATTCCCTTCTTTTTTTTTCAGGAGGGTTTTGGCTATTCAGGGTTTTTGGTGGCTCCATATGAATTTCATCAATATTTTTTCTGTTTCTTTGAAGAATAACATTGAAATTTTAATTGGAATAGCATTGAATCTGCAGATTGCTTTTGGTAGGATGGCCATTTTGATAATGTTAATTCTTCCGATCCATGAGCAGGGGATATCTTTCCATTTCTTTGTGTCTACTTCTATTTCTTTTAACAGTGTTTTATAGTTTTCTTTGTATAGGTCCTTTACTTCTTTTTTTAGGTTTATTCCCAAGTATTTGATTTTTTTTGTTTCAATAATCAAAGGAATGGTTTTCTTGATTTCTTCTTCTTCAGATTTATTGTTTGTGTATAGAAAGGCTACTGATTTTTTTCATTGATTTTGTATCCTGCCACTTTACTAAACTGATTGATTACATGAATTAGTTTTTCTGTGGAGTTTTGGGCTTCTCTATGTATATTATCATATTGTATCATCCACAAATAGTGATACTTTGACTTCTTCCTTGCCTATTTGGATTCCTTGTATGTCTTTCTCTTGTCTTATTACTCTGGCTAGGACTTCCAGTATTATTTTGAAAAGCAGTGGTGAGAGTGGACATCCTTGTCTTGTTCCAGATCTTAATGGGAATGCTTTCAGCTTTTCACCATTGAGAATGATATTGGCTGTGGGCTTGTCATAGATGGCCGTTATGATGTTGAGGTATGTTCCTTGTATCCTGAGAATTTCAAAGGCCTTTATTATAAGTGGGTGTTGTACTTTGTCAAAGCTTTCTCAGCATCTATGGGTATTATTATATGGTTTTTATATTTTTTTTTGTTGATGTGTTGGATTACTTTGATTGATTTTCGGATGTTGAACCATCCATGTGTCCCTGGAATAAATTCTACTTGGTCGTGGTGAATTATCTTGTGGATGCATTGTTGGATTCTGTTTGCAAGGATTTTGTTGAGGATTTTTGCATCATTGTCCATTAGGGAGATTGGCCTGTAATTTTCTTTTTTTGTGCTGTCTTTGTTGTGTTTTGGTATTAGTGTAATGTTTGCTTCGCAGAACGTATTTGGTAGTATTCCTTCTTTTTCAATTTTTTGAAAGAGTTTGTGTAGGATAGGCACTAATTCACTGCTGATTGTTTGGTAGAATTCATTTGTGAAGCCGTCTGGGCCTGGGATTTTGTTTTTGGGGAGTGCTTTGATTACTGCTTCAATTTCGCACAGCTCCCTTCTTGAGGTCCCTTCAGGGCAAGCACACTCCCTTTTCCAGTCTTCCCATCAATGTCCCTATTGTATATTGACATTCAATGGCCATTACCCCTCAGGGACTTGAGGTGAAGCCTAATTCTTGAGTCACCTGGGTCTGTAGGCTTCAAAGTTTTCAACTCTAAGGGAGAAATATAAAAGAAGTGGGATAGATGTTAAGTCACCTCAAAGTCCATGACAGAGTTGGGGGGTGACAAGCAGTGCCCATTTGGATAGAAGCAGAGCAGATGAGGAGATGGGGTGGTGGGCAGCCACTGAGAGGAGCATTTGTATTTTGATTTCCAAGTGTGCCTGTTCTATTTGATGGGGCATTTTGTGCTTACAGTTGCCCTGTACCATTAGTGAAGTAGAGCAGTATATATGCAGATGGCTTTGTTAACTAGGTAAGTTTTACAGGAGCTACTCTAAATACTGCAAATTTTTTAGGTTTGTAACTATGCAGCTACATGCACAGGTAGTACCCAGTGAGGCCTTTTGAAAAGGTGTATTTCAGTCACCACATGTTATGCTCAAATCATTGAAATTAGCTCTTACAGTTCTGATTTGATTTTTTAAAAAAGTGAGTGTAGGGCCTCCCTGGTGGCACAGTGGGTTGAGTTCAGCACTGTGAAGCTATCCACAGCCTCTACAGCGCGGGTTCGATTCCCAGCCAGCCAGGGAGATACCACATGGTGTGGTAGAACTCTCCCGTCTTGCCCGCTGCTCCCCTCAGCATTGTCTTTGGTCTGTCTGCCTGTTCTGTTCCCCACTCTGTCTCTGATGAATCCTCTCACCCTCCCATGCCTCTGACCTGTACCCCAGTTCTTGTATAAATAAAAATAAATCTTTAAAAAGTGAGTGTAAAGTTGGGTGAATAAAGCTTGCATTATTAAGGCAAAAGCTAAAGTCTGGACAGAAACATGACATTAAAACAGAACTCTACAAATGCAGTTTTAATTTTCTGGCTGCCGTCTTAAAATGTGTATCTTAATTAGAATTCGTTCAGAGCAAAAACAGATCAAAATGGTGTAATGAAGAAATCTAATTATGTTCTAAATAATAGGCTCACTGTATTTTGTTCTAGACTATGTATGGGTTACTGGGAGATTCTGCTTCAGCGTTGGCAGCACTTTCACTGACAAGCTAACAGACAAAACAAGATGTTCTAAGAAAGGAGGGGTGGGGTTGCTTCTGACTGTACCCAGTGCTTGTATAAATAATAAATAAATCTTAAAAAAAAACCCAACACAAATTAAAAAAAAAGGAGGGGTGGGGTCTGCTGTGGATGAGTGGGTTAGCACTGAAGTTCAGTAGAGAGTCTCCTTTTCCCCACTCCTTCCAAGGTCAAGGTACAAAGATGCCCAGGCAGAATCCCACTGTCATCCTGGAGAGGTTGCTGGAATCTGTGTGCCTGGGCCTGTGTCAGCCTCTCTGGGAAATCAGTGGGATTAGAAGCTGGCAGTTCTCTCTCTGGCCTGTAGTGCCTGGAGCTTTAAGCGTCCACCTGTGTATGGGGGTGGGGGGTGAGGGGGGCACTGTCAAAAAAGCCTGAAAGCCAGCTCTATACTTATTTGTCACTGTCACTTCAGCCCAAGGGGGACAACCTCTAGTCACTCATGGTGTGTGTGTGCCTCAGGACTTTTGGTCTTCAGAGCTTGCTCTGTCCAATGCCTGGGGCTGGGATGATAATCCCAAAGGGTCCTCCCGACAATGGAGAGGTGTTCTTGCCTCCTATCCTTCTGTTCTCACACCTGTGCCCCATGGCCCAGAGTGGAGGCCAGTGCCCATGTACAGACTGTTGGCTCAGTCTTGTTTTCAGGGAACCTCACAATAAGGTAGCTACCATGGAATCCTTGGCATAGACTCTTCATGGTGGGGGCCAGGAGGAAGATGCTGCTTGTTTTGACAAGTGGATCCTAGGGTTAACTAAATCAGCCATCAGTAGGAATCTAAAGCCCTGAGTCTGCTCATTTCTTTGGGCAGAACTTTATCTGTAAGATAAAGTTTAAAAAAGTTTGCTAATCTTCACTCAGAGATAGCAAATTTTGAGAATATGCAGTATTTCTTGAATGATGTGCTGCATAAGAGACTTTTTACAGAGCATAGTGTGATTTATCAGGGGCTGTTTGCTGTTTTAAGGGAAAGAAATTCTTTTCTGATAGCTCTTTCACTCCTTATTAGCATTTTAATCCCCTTTCCAAAGTCTCAATTCAGAACCTAAATCGAGTGCTATGACTAGAATTTTGGGCCTATGCAATTATTTAGCTGGTATTTTTCAGACTTCATTTTCCAAAGTTCATTGGCTTCCATAGTCCATTGCTAAAACATAGAAATGCAAAAATAAATGGCATTTCTTACTACCATGCTAAAGATTGTATGAGGTTTTATACATATATATGTCATCTGTGAATCCATACACTAATTTGTAGCCTAGTGATATTATATTGATCTCTCAATGTAGGAGATTTAGAGTCCTTTTGCTACTTTTTATGGACTGAAAATCTCCAATGCCAAGGACTTTACCCTTTGAGGCCCTGTTGCATCACCCAGTAGTTCTCATTGTTGGGCCCTGATTATGTTGTGGGCTGAGTCTACTTCAGCTTCTTTGGGGCAGTCACTCAGAAACATGAAGACAACCACAAACTTCTCCATGGAGCCTCAGCGCAGGTGAGGCAGTTTTCAGTTCCTCCTCCCATAAGAACCAAAGATAAACCCTGCATGTCGTATAGAATGGAGAAAAGAATCCTATAATCTGACATGACCAGTGTTGTTCATAGCTAATATAATGATTTTCCAAAAGACCAGATGAATAAAAGTTGAATGGGAAAGCTAGCTAGGGAATCAAGGAGACATGTTTCTGTGAAATGCAGTTTAATAAACACGTGAAATTCCCCCCAACCCAGGAGTGCTCTGTTTTTGAACCATTACCAAAACAAAACAAAACAAAACAAAACAAAACAAAAAACCCAAAAAACCAACCCAGGAGACAAAAATGTCATTCATTATTTTTAATGATTTTGAGCTATGGTTTGACCACAGCATTAAGAACAAGCCTAAAAAGCTGATTTCATAACTAACAAACAGCACTTAGAGCAACATCTTTCTTTAAAAGTATTGCAATTACAGACCTTAGGTCTAAGACTACATCACCATTGCTCAGTTAAAGGAGGCAGATACACAACAGTTGGAAAATCTTCTTCCGTATGTAACTGGGAATTATGTTGAAAAGTGAGCACAAATGGCTATTAAAAAAACTTTAATGGTTTCTGATTATCATAGCTTACATGAATAATTATTGATAAGTTCAAATACAGTTTTTTTTAAGTTAAGACTGCTTTATAATAAAAATTAAATGAACTAAATGCTGTGAATAGTATTGTAAATATTTTAAAATAGCTTTAAACAAGACAAGTATACAATTAGAGTGATTTTTGAAACATGAAACGAAAAATAGTAATATACACATTAAAATGAACCAGAATTATTAGTGGTAATTTAAGCCTCAGTTATTTCTATAGAGAAGAAGCAATGATGTAGTAAAATTTTAGTACCTCTGAGTCTAGAGATTCTGTGATGACAATTTTTCTCAACAATTGTTCCAAGAGATTGAACCTGGACAAATGGGAGTGTCATTTCTGACAGTAATGAGCCTTGGTTCTTAATGCTGAGCCACGAGGGAGCCCCTGCAACTTACAGTGGAGCAGACAGTGGAGATGGTTGGGCTGAGAACATACAAGACAATGGTCTCTTCATGGGTCTTCCAAAAACAGATAACAAAAGAAGGATTGACTTTTAGTTCATTCAGCATTAAGAGTTGCTCCAGTAGAGCCATTTTTAGCTTCAGGATAATCAGTAATCATTTGTTTTCTGGAGGATAGGGTTATGTTTCATCAGTATTTCATAGAGCAAGTAAAAACCATGGAATTTATTAGAATTAAAATCCTCTAGTGACAGAATGAATTTGAAATGCTGATCCATGGCAAAATTTCACTGATTGCCTTTGTGGACAATGCTGGAGAGGATGCCCACACCCATGATTCAAGAAAGGTTTCAGTGAACATAGGCTTTTTTCTCCTTTTTAAAATTAGAATACTCAAAGGTAAATGCATAGGCCACAATTAGATATTAAAAAACCGAGTTGGAAGTAGATGCTGTGTGGGATATGTGACATAAAGTGCAACTGAAAATGGCAAAACCTTGTCTACTTTTTATGTCAAGGTCACCATAAGACACCAATAGTAATGATGTAAGATTTTCACTTGACTGGCTGATGGCCAATTCTCTTCTAAAATAGATAACCCAGAACAAAACATTTTTTTCTAAGAGTAGAGTCTTCTCTTAAGTGGATTTACATTTCCTGAGGTATTCTTTCCCTTAATAACTACTGTGAATTCACTGGCCCACCATCATAACTTGTAAAGACAAAGGCACAGAGGAACTCGGGACACAGATGGTCATTAATGCCTCTGTATTGAACAAATTTCTCTGCTGCAGGTCAACTCACTTAATCTGACATACATTCTGTAATTTTAACAAAAATGTGCACTTTTCACTGGGGTCAGACATCATTATTCTACAAGAGATAATGTTTTCTCATAAAGCAAGCTGAAAAATCAACATTTTTTTCTGACTATAACTAACACTGGTCCAACTGTTACTACATAGATTGAAATAAGAAGCATCTAGTGGCAACCAAAAAACTGTGGGATTTTTAAAAATTATTTTAAAAAAAGTTTTCCCAGCAAAAATGTAACTTTGAATTGCTATACATATGCTGGTCATAAACTGTGACTTGTTTATTCAGACTTCTTTCCCTTATGTTACAATATTGATATTTAATAGGAAAATAAACTACATAGACTTTCATCTGATGCATCCATTTGTAAATTTTCTTACAAAAGAGGACAAAGCACATAGGCATCCACAAATTCTATGCCATTTCTGTTAAAATTGATATCATCTATACATTATATTACAATATTAACAATTTGTTGTTCTACCCATTGGGTAGGATATCTGCATAATATATTCAAGTTATATACAGCACCTTACACATAAAAACATAAGAAAAGACAGACAACTGAAAAAGCACCATTGTAAGTGAGGCACAACAAAGGTGGGGAGCAGGGCATGGTGGTGGAGGTTCTGTCCTAGATCTGCTGACATCAGCCAGGAGATGCCTTGGTTGCTTAAAACCTACTGACATGCAAGCTCTTGGAAATGATCTGGGTCTGGGTAATATACATGTATAGAGTATAGGTAATCTCTGTAGACTGCTAATCCCCTACCACACCACACAGAAACAAGCACACATCTCTGAAGGAAAGAGGAGGAAAGGAAGACAGGCAAGGCCTACCTGCTCAAAGATAATAGTTTCCAGAGGCAGCAACCTGTAAAGCAGAGCAGCAGCAGCACCAGCAACAGCAACAGCACATGACTGTCTAACCCTCATCGATATTTAAACTTTATGCAAAAGATGTTAACACTTAGGGTATTAAAGTAACCTAAGTTGAAATCCTGATTCCTAAACAATAGAGGTCAGGAGAGCACTCGTCATCCTCTGACCTGCCTCTTATCTCTGCTGAGTCGGGCTGTAGAACCAGCGAGTGAGAAGAACAGGGTGACTATCAGCTGGGATCCGGAGTGAAAGCAAATTTCTTAATTTGTGACTTTGGCGTGCCCCCATTAGACACAGGATTCCTCGTGCTATGGAGGGGAGACTTGCCAACTTGTCATCCAATCAGGTTATTTTATCTGAGTTGGCCAAGGCCTACTCATCGAGGCAAGGGTAAGCACCAGCTGAGGACACTGGCAGAGCTTGGGAACAATGTCATCTTACAAAGGGTTGGCACCAAGCAGTAGTGTATTTCTGGTTTTAGTCGTGTAGATAACAACCAAAAAGTTAACAAAAAGGAAATAGCTTTCCTAGTTATTTTTCATTTATATACTGCTAAATTTTGGAAATTTTAAGGAAAATCAACATATACCAATTAACACAGAGTTAATGTTGCCTGCTGAGTAACAAGCACAAGCAGCAGCACCAGCTCAAACACTAGGGCATCGGGAAGGCCGGGAAGTGCATGGTGGGTTGGCAGCCCTGTGTCCTACTGCAGTGTGGCTCAGAACAGCATTAGCCAGGAGGAGAGGAACCTTCTTTTGAGGGGTAGGGTCCAGAAGTGTGTCTCTGTGCTATGAACCAGTTTAGGCCTGAGGATGGCGCTGCAGGGCATTATGCCAGGACTCTTTCAATGGAGAAGATGGGAGATACAGAACCATCCCTATCAAGGTTACAACTACTGGTAGTAGAAGTCAGGGTTTTGAGTGGATTCTTCTAGATCAGAGAAGCTTTCTAACAGTGCCTGCCTTCTGAGCCCTTCCTATTCTTAGGAAGATGAAATAAAGGTACAGAAGGTGTGCTCATGGCCCCCAGTTGACTTAGTGTTGGCCCTTATTTCCTCTCCCCAAAGTTTGAACTTTAGTGGATATATGGATAGATCACATGAGTCCTTCTAAGTTTGAAATATGCTCTGCTGTCATTAAATGTATTGTGGATTGTGTGTCATGTGTAAGTGTGGTGGGAATGGATGGAGGGTGTACTTGTCAAGCTGCTTTAACACTAAATCTTAGTCAGGGACAATATCTTTTGCACTAAGGACTGCTTCAGTGTTTTGACAAAAAACTATGTTTTCTGGAAAAGCAAACAAATGCTTGAACACTGTATTCCCCCAAATGGGACTCAACCTGCCTTGGGGTTCATACTCCTGGAAGTCCCTGGGACAGACAAAAACATTTGTAACACGACTAAGGAATTTAGAAGTTTCTGATCAGAGCTATTTTTTTTTTTTTTGTAGCAGGTAAGGATTGTAAAACCATTTTGAGCTAGAGTTACAGAGTTGGGCTCACCTGCTTTATCAAAATTGCAGGCAATTGTGCAATAGATATGAGCGGGTTCTTTTGAGGACTAAATCTATAAGATTTGATGATGCATTAAAAATAAGGTAGGGGAAATAGATAAGGAAGCAATCAAAGCTTGTGCCCATGTTTCTGGCTAAAGGGAAAGGTAGATGACTAGAAAGGCTATAGTACAGAACTGATAATATAGTAGTATAAGGACAACCAAAAAGGTTGCAGGCAAGGTTTGGAATGATGAAATAATTAGCTAACCTTCTCACAGCTGAGGGATCACCTGATCAGCAATTCACCTGAGTCCTGTTCTAGGATCAATTTATGCACTCCCTAATCTTGACTACATAGTGGCTGGGTGCCTTTCTTGGGGGCTGGGTGCCATGCTGTGGGGGCTGGGTGCCATGCTATGGAGGTCCCCAACTTCCTCCAATAGAGGTGCACAGGCTAGTTGCTAGCAGACCTGTCAGGAGGCCTCTGGGTAGTAGAAGGCAACTCTGGTTCCAAGTCAAGATTCAGGGCTGTGTCCCATTTGGAACCCCCACTGCAGTCTCAGCATATACACACACAATTCCACACAAGTTGTAAAGCAGGAGTGACAACTGCTGCCCCAATTTTTTTTCTTTTAACAGCTTGACTAGTTCTGTGGATGTTATTGTGTGAGACAGATGAATCTAAGACAATTCCCATCCTCAAAGCAAGATCAGAAAAACGACCTACTGACTAAAAGAAACAGGAGAAAGGAGCAGAGGGCACAGTGCATAGACAGGACTACGGTTCAGAACAGTCTCTCCAGCTCTCAGCCAACAGCACAGCCACCTCATCGATAAGCTGCTGCAGAGGCCCAAAGACACATCAGTGCATGCCTGCTAATTTGGGGTTAAACCACAGTCACTCCAACCTCCCACCCACAGCAACATGCAGAGGCCATGTGGAACTCACTGCACAGGGCAGGCCACTTGCTCAACAAGGCCTGTTTGGGGCGGCATTGGACATACTGGCTGCTGCTGTTACAAAGTTAGATGCTTATGTCCAGGGAGGAAAGTGGTTTATTTTATGTAAGAATAAATGTTTGTAATTAGAAGGAATATTGAAACTATGACTAATTATAATTAGTTAGTTTTCTAGTTGCATTTGAACTGTATGTTGTGCTTTTTGTCCTGTGCTTTTAAAATCACTCCTGCCCTGCTTTTCACTAACCATCTGTTCTGGTCGCATCACCAAGGCTGAGCTTAGCTGGGTTTGGGGTAACACATTCCTCCAGAAACGTTGCACAAGTGAGTGCAATGGCTTATCTTCATGCAGAAGGCTTGGTGTGCCTCCCTCAGCACAAGGGCTTCCTGAGCAGGAAGAGCTGTTTTGCTTACACCCAGGAGCACAGGGCTGGGAGGAACCAAGAGCCTGATATGCCAAGCAGCATTCAGGACTGAAGTGAACTATCTTGGGAGGGAAAGAGACAATGGGATACATTGACAAGTCACATATCCCATTATTAAAAATAATCACCTTGCATTTTAAATGATTTATTGCACAAAGTTATATTTCATGCTATAATGAAAAAAATCAAAATTACTGAAGGAGTTACACTGTGGAGGCTAAGGGCAGCCTGGTGCTGTTGGGTTCATTTTAAGTAAAAATACAACCTAAGACTAGCAGAATAACAAGTCAGAAATGCTGGAATTTAGTATTTCCTATCTCCTACCCAAATGTCCTCCAAATGCTTCAGTGATGCACTGCTATCTGCTGCAAATTCTTGCAACAAAAATGATTTTCTTGTTTTACGTAAGTCAGCCTATATTAGGCTACACCATCGAATGTCTTTTCTTGCATGATTACGGGGAACACTCCAGGGTATTCCTTGGGCCTAATAATAATCCACAGGTAAAAAGACATACAGAACATACAGAATTTCACTTAAAACATTTCCCTCATATATAAACATTTAGATAGTGCAACTTTTAAAAACACATCATTACAACACAAAGTAACTCCTTGCATTCATCTAGCTTCTCCACTTTATATCTTGGCACACAAAACAGGAATTTTGAATCATATTTTTAAAACAAAATAAAAGTTCCACACCTTGGGAGAAAAAGCAAACTGGCCTATTCTGCCCCATGATAATATATAAAAACTCTTTCTTCTTCATTCCAATAATTATAAAACAGGCCATTCTGGCCTCTATCTCTGCAAAGTCTCCTTTCATAATTAAATAAGTCAAATACCTGTATGGGTTTTATTTCATGATATTTTTAAAGCATCCCTTTTCAACATCCCCATGCCCACCCTCTGCCAAACCACCCTGTCCTAATGGCGATCCCCAAATTAACACTTTTTGCAGTCAGATCAGATCAAAGTTTGTGTTATTTCAGTCTTGTTTGCATGCAATTCCCCTAAAAGGAATCAGAAACAGACCATGTTTGCACATTTGGTTTTACTTGGCTATAGCACGTAAAACTGAGTAACATTGAGTGGAGCAGAGGGTCTTCTTCCCTCCTTATCTCCTTTCTCAGCTTGAATAAACACTGGGGTCAGACAAGGTTCCCAGGCTTCCTATCTTTGCCCTGGATAGGTGCCCCTGTGTCCCCAGGGCTGTCCTGCTGAAACGGCAGTCTGCTCTCCCTGTGTGCATGGCTGTGCTGGTGATGGAAGAAAGAAGAGCCTGGGTGGTGGCCCATCACCTCGCTGTATGTTGGGGGTGGCCCCTCCATCCTTCCGTTACTGCTGCAGGTGCTGGCACTGATGCCCGAGTTGCTGCTGGGTGGGCACGGGCCCCCACTGTACACAGAAATGTCAATCAAATCACTGTCAAATATGGTTCGGTTGGGAGGGGCCCTCACAGATTCTCTGTTGAGTTCCATCTGCTGTTCAGGGTCCCGGAGTTGTAGAGTGCAGGGCCCCTGGTAAGGAGGCGGCTCCTCCCCATCAGACAGGGAGATAGTAGGAGGAAGGTCAATCTCGTGCTGCACGTAGGGGTAGGTGGGCTGGAAGCGGCTGAACCGATCCCTCTGCATAAAGGAAGGGGCAGCAAACCTGTCCCTGGGCCGAGGGGTGTACATGGTCTGCAAAGAAAGGAGAGGTTCATGGTATAGTAATGACCACAAACTTAATAGTGCCAAGGAAATTCTTACCATATGACAATTTTCCCTGACAAAACAGAGAAGACTATTCTAAGAAAAAAAATGAAGTTTTGTTGTTCCTCCTATGATTCACCTGGCTGGGATGAATCTCCACAACCATAGAGAATTGTGGCTGACTAAAAATCTGGGTGTAATGGGAGTTATTGTGTGTGCTACCTATAAGTTTATCATTGAACAGTTTTCCAGTAGAACAGGAGTACTTTCCAGAGTGTAGTCAACAGCAACAGAGTGGAAGAGGCTCTGTGGATGCGCATGGCCTGGTCCAGGCTCCACTCCATTACCTACAAAGTAAGAGGGCTGAGGCCTGCCTCCTCGGTTGTGCCAGATCCCTACCTTATTAGAAGAATGGGAAGTGGTTCACAGTCTTCACTGTAAATATAAGCTACAACTGCCTATAATGGTATCTGTAGAAGACATGAAGTATTGGGTCAATTTATGGATATTTGTTGAAGCTTGCTGCTCTAGCTTTAAAAAAAAATATGGAACAAGTGCCTTTTTATTCTTTCTGATTTCTAGATTTTTCCAGGTTTTTTTTTTTTCTGGATAAAAGTTTCCTGTATTTTTTTTTAGTAACTGATATGAAAAAAGTTTTATATTTCATCCAAAGTAAATGTGATTATATATTTTTTTCTAAAATGAATTGAAGTACTTCTTACATAATCTTCCATCTATTCCACTATCCAAGTTTCCTCAAGAGGAAATACATATTTTGTGAGTGTGTGTATGTATATATGTGTATCCACTGACATTATTCTTATTTTAAACTTAAAGGCAAACAGCTATTATTAAAAAAAATACTATTAAACTTGAAGATGTGGGAATGCATCATAGTGTGATATTTATAAACAATGATGCCAATCTGCCAGGCCTCATTATTATTAGCAGCTTATCGGATCATGTAAAGATCACTGATTCTCAACATGTTTTCTGTAAAGACCGCTAGCACAAATAATCCCTAGGAGATTCTAGGGAAAATCCCCCTCACCTTTTAAACCAGCTATAGCCATATGCCTTAATTTAAATGTGTCATTTCCTAACCTATGCTGTAATATCAATTTTGTTGAAGGGGTTTGTTTCCTTCCTTCCCTCTCCTACACAGGTGGGGTTCAGTAGTCAGCCCCTGCCACCCACACTTCACCTGCCCATCCCTTACCTCTGAAGCACCTGGTCGAGACCTGGAGCTGTCTGAAGGCCACAGATGCCCTTCCTGGAGTGGGTAGGAGTGCAAGAAACATCACAAGAAAATCATTAGTTTCAATCAGCAGCACCTGAAATCAAGGGATCTCATCCCTCTTTTACAGTAGCAGACCTGTTTAAAATACAGAACAAGAAGAACTGCTCTCTTTTTATACCTAAAATCTAAATGGAGAGTTGTAACTAATGGGGGAGTTAGAAAGTTCTGGTTCCAGCCATAACAGATTTTAAATAGATTGGATATGATATAGATCCGAAGTCAAATATTTTTCAATCTATATCATTCAAAATGGTCATCAGGCCATAGTCACTCACTACCTAGATATGGGGAGGGTAGCTTAAGCCCTCATGCAGAGGCCTCCCCTCCCCGCCAAGTGTGCACCCCCACCATGCACCAGCCAGTCCTGAGTTCAGCAGCAGCAGCAGAAAAGCACTGCTGAGGCATACTGAGCACTGCTCAGGCATAGCTTTCAAGGTGAATTTCCAAAACCTGAATGCCTTTCAAGTGTCTTCTAATGAATTTATTCTTCAGGCTGTATATTCACAGGCAGATGTGACTTGGGGGCATGTTCCTTAACACCACATCTAGTTCTTTAACACCTTTTTTCAAAAGAATTTGGCTAGACTGACAAGGTGACAGATACACTGTCAGCATCATCAAGGGTCATTTTTAATATCATAAACTTGTTTCTGAAGCACTTCAACATGTCACCTGGGAGACTGTGAATAGCTGACTACAAAGATGTGAGGTCCCCTTGTCTATATCCCTCAATACTTCATCCCCGAATGCCAGTGATTACATCTTCAGATTTCCTCAGGACCTTTCTCATAGGTGGGGAGCTGATTCTTAAACCACCATTCACCATAAGTCTCCTTACAGAAAGTTCTGCTCCTGGGCTCTTCACCATTTGATTTCAACAAAACCCCAGAGCTACACAGAACATAGACACACAGCTGCATAATGACTATGCTCTTAAATCATTAGCTCAGCCTAGCAATTAGCTGTCCACTTATGAAATCACCATGAGCACAAATACCAGCACAAGTTATCTAGACAATGCAGTGCTTCTTTTGATGTCATGGGTAGACAGGTTAAAAGAAACAGCTTTAGCACATTTGACTTTGTGATAAACTTTTGGGTCATCTCTCTCTCTCTCTCTCTCTCTCAAATAAAATCTTTGTTGTGAAGGAGTACATTGTTATTTGTTGTCTGCTAATGTAGTTACTGTCATGTATGTTTGACCATTTCTGAGTAAGTTGCCACATTTTTCTTCTGAATCTACAAGATGGTGGCAGAGCCTGGTCCACAGCAACATTACAAAGGAGAGGGTTCCTCTCTGATAGGGTCTCTAAGCCTAGATTTACCATAAAGCACATACACACATGCATGCACACATGTGTACATGTATACTCAGCATTCTCCAATGATTTGAATCAAAAAGTGTTACAGGGCAGGGTGAGGGGCATCCTGGGACCTCCAAACCTGTCTGCTCTAAATGAGTTTTGCTATCCACTGCATAAAGACAAACATACTCTTAGTGCATAAGAAGGAACTTTAACACAATTAGTATGCAATAGACAGAAGAGAAGGGAAAGAATAGATAAAATAGTTTTCACATGAAACATCCCAAGTTACTCATCCACTCATGGGTAAATACCCAGCCAAACAGGGTTGGCCACTGAGGCCCAAAAGCTTGCCACAAGTCTAAGGCACCTTCTGGTCGGGACCCATAGGAAAGGGGCATAAGGGTCCAGGCAAGTCTGGGAAAAAAAGGGTAAAATCAAAACCCAAGTCACAGTAAAGCCTGCCATTGTCAGCCTCCCCATGGGTCTCTCACTCATGTCTCTTCTAAGTGTCTCCTTCCATGTCCCCTAAATCCCTGGTACAAGTCCCAGGCCAAGAAGCAAACACAGCTTCTTCACATGTCTTGGCAACTTGTGTCTCCTCCAGGTCTTCTTCTTCATCTCCTCCCTTCGTTCTCAGTCTTCTTCAGTTTCTCCTCCCTGCTCAGTTCTACACTTCCTTGGGTGGGGCCGGGAACCTGGAACCTTCCCTTTCCTTGGGGATTACCTTGTTACAAAAGGATAGTGTGCTGGCCTCCCTAGCAGCCACTAGGATCCGGACCTATCAATGTCTTGGACCATCCAGAGGACCTAGCTGGTCATCCAGGAGCTCTACTGAAATCTACATCTTGTGGCAAAGGGATATAGGATGGCTCCAAATCTTACAGGCTTGAAGACATGTATTTTTAGACTCTTTTACCCTTAAGCATCTGCTTTGTATTTTCCTCTTTCTGAATGATCAATGAGAAGCCATATTGACAGAAAAATTTCTTGTAAGTTGAATCTGCTTTACACTAAAAACATCTGCATTAAAGATTTTAAAAAAAAACGATCTTACTAATAATTGTCTTTTTTTAAAAAAAAAGATTTATTTATTTATTTATGCACAGAAGAACTGGGGTGTCAGCCAGAGGTGCACGGGGTGAGAGAATTCACCAAAGACAGAGTGGGGAACAGAACAGGCAGACTGACCAAAGTACAATTCTGAGGAGCGCAGCAGGCAAGACAGGAGAGGTCTGCTGTGCCATATGTGGGTGAGCTCCCTGGCTGGAACTGAACTCAGGCCACAGTGGTGATAGCACTGAGACTTAACCCCTAGGCCACCAGGGACTCATCCCCTCCAATGTTTGTCTATATGATGTCAACAATCACGATGTGTTATATGGCCAGATTTTTTTCCCTTTCAATTTTGACCATGTGGAACTTTTGGAAGTGGGTGGGTAGTAGATGGGAAATAAAAACTGACACATTCTATTTTTTTTATTGTGGTAAATATGTATAACATAAAATTCACCATTTTAAACATTGATAAACAGACTGTTCTATGGGTTTAAGGGCATTCGTGGTCTCATGCAACTATCACCACCATATATCGCAGGACTTTTTCATTTTCCCGTGCTAAAACACCCATTAAACTAAATTAAACTCCCAATTTCTTCCTTCCCTCAGCCATGGTAGTCACCATTGCACTTTCTGTGTCTATAAATTTAACTGTTTAAGGTATCTCGTATAATTATATATTACATATAATTATATATTATTTGTTCTTTTGAGGACACATATATTATGTTTTACTCGACATACTGTGTCTAAGGTTGACCCACATTGTAGCATATGCCAGTATTTCACTCCATTTTAAGGCTGAGTAATATTCCATTATATATTATGTTATTATTCATTCATCGACTGGTAAGATATTTTGGTTGTTTCTACCTTTTGGCTATTGGGAATAATGTTGCTATAAACAGGAATGTATGACTACCTCTTCCAGTTTCTATTTTATGTAACTCTATGCTTATGTAACTCTATACTTAATTTTTAAAATTTAATTAATTTATTTTTAACTGAGGTAATATTGGGGTGCCCCATCAGGTATGACCACCACAGAGCACCCACCGCCAACTCACCCATATTTCACCACCACAGACCAATATGCCTTCCTCCCTCCCTGTTCTTCTCCTCTCCTAGCCTCTCCACCACTTGGTGTCTCAGCTCTGTAGTCAGCTATCAAGGGTTTTTCAGCTTGTCTTTATCCATTAATTTATATTATATTATATTATATTATTAATTTATATTCCACATATTAGTAACACCATCTACTATTTATCTTTCTCCTGACTTATTTCACTTAGCATTATTCTTTCAAGTTCCATCCATTACTACAACTGGCATGAGTTTACCTTTTTGATAACCGAGTAGTATTTCACCACATCTTCTTGATTCCCTCCTCTTTTTTGGGGCACTTAGATAGTTTCCATAGTTTAGCTATAGTAAATGTGCTGCAATAAACATAGGTGTACAAATTTCATTTTGAATTAGTGTTTTTAAATTTTTTGGATAGATGGGTAGGAATAAAATTACTGGTTGAATGGGAGATCCATTTATTGTTTTTTTCTCCCCCCCCATTTTTAATTTTTATATTTTTACAATGTTGTTTGCTTTTTGCAATGTTTGATTTCTCTTCTTGGCTGTTGTCCCCATAAAATTACCACCACCAAGACATCTTCTTGATCCAGTCATCTGTTTTTGGGCATTTAGGTTGTTTCCATATTTTAGTTATTGTAAAGAGTGCTGCAATGAAACATAGGAGTGCAGGTTTCCTTTTGAATTAAAACTTTTGTGTACTTTGGGTAGATTGCTAGGAGTGGAATTGCTGGGTCATACGGTAGATCCATTTTTAGTAATTTGAGGGTCTTTCACATAGCTTTTAATAGTGGTTGGACCACTTTGCATTTCAACCAGCAATGTAAAAGGGTTCCTTTTCCTCTACATCCTCTCCAGTAATTGTTGCTGTTAGTTTTTCTTAATGTGGGTCATTCTTACTGGTGTGACATGATATCTCATTGTGGTTTTGATTTGCATTTCCCTGATTATAAATGGTGCTGAGCATTTTTTTTCAAGTGCCTCTTGGCAATCCAAATTTCCTCTTTGGAGAAGTGTCTTATCAGCCCTTCTGTCCAATTTTTTTTTAAGATTTATTTATTTTTATACAAGAGCTGGGGTACAGGCCAGAGGTGCTGGAGGGGAGAGGATTCATCAGTGACAGAGCGGGGAGCAGAACAGGCAGACAACTGAAATACACTGCTGAGGGGAGCAGTGGGTGTGACAGGAGAGGTCTGCCATGCCATATGGGAATCTCCCTGGCCAGCCGGGAATTGAACCCACTCTTATGAGGCTGTGGACAGATTCACAGCACTGTGCTCAACCCACTGCGCCACCAGGGAGGCCCTCTTCCATCCAATTTTTGACTGCATTTTTTATTTTGTTTTTGTTGAGTTGTGTAAATCTTTTACATTAGTCCCTTAAAAGTTTTATGGAGTGCAAATAATTTCTTATCATTTGTGGGGTGTCTGTTCATCTTGGTTATTGTCTCTTGTTGTACAGAAGCTTTTCAGTTTGATGTAGTCCCAGCTGTTTATCTTTTCTTTCATTTTCTTTGTTTTGGGAGAT